TTTTCTTGCACATATTGTTTACATACTTCCGCAGAAAAGTGCTCAAATTGTTAACTCTCAATAAATAAAAGAACTTTCAAGGATCAATAAACATTTTGTGATTACAGTTATGTTAGGGATTGTGTATGCATGCCAAAAATTTCAATTTTTTATTTATGGTCGTCTCATTAAGATAATAAATGATCATAAGCCTAATGTAAGTGTTTTAAATAAGCAAATATCTTCAATAAATTCTCATGGATTACAAAGGTTGAAATCAAAACTCATAAAGTATAATATACTCCTGGACAAAATTATCGCACCATCACTGCACATAGGCACCATAAGCAGTGGTGCGATAATTTTGTCCAGGAGTATATAAAAATTGAATACATGCCAGGTAGGTATTTAGATATTGCAGACTATTTGTCTAGGAATATTAGTTCTGAAAAGGCTGAAATTGATAGTGACATTCAAGAAGTGTTGCATGAGGTGGAAAAATATTGACTTATGAGTGAAAGTAGAAAAGAGTAATTCCGAAAAGAAACTGTGAAAGATATAATTTTAAGTAAAGTTATGAAGTATTGTTTGAGCGGTTGGAAAAAAATAAAATATGAAGGTGAGCTTGGAGATTTTCATAATTTGAGAACTGATTTACATTAACATGTAGGTAACTGATAATCTCATACTGTCGATAGAAACGAAACAGCTACTAGCGAAAAGGAGAAAACTGATAACCGAGGGTAAAAGAGACACTATTGAATACACAGAAACCAACAAAACAGCAAGAAAAATGGCGAAACAGGATATACTGAAACATCAAACGAAACAAGTGCAATCCCTATTAGAACAGAACAAAGGCCTTAATATATTCAAAAGACATAACACACCTAAGAAAGAGATAACCAAAATAAAAGATGCGAAAAACAACATAGTAGAAGACAGACAACAGATACTAAAAGTTGTGGAATCTTTCTATAGAGATCTGTACGAATCTAAAATAGCAAACACAAGGACAAGGGAAGACAAAATACGAATAGTAAATGCAAACTCAGAAGAAATGCCCGACATAAATATGGAAGAACTGGAGAAAGGGTTATCCCAGATGAAAAATGGTAAAGCGGCAGGAGAAGACAACATTCTGCCTGAAATGCTCATGGAAAGCGATATTAAGACGAGACAAGAACTAGTGAAACTATTCAATAAGTGCCTAACAGAAGAACATAAACCCAAAGATAGGGAGAATGCTGTAGTTGTTCTGATCTACAAGAAAGGTGACCCGACTGATCTCGAAAACTACCGGCCGATAAGCTTACTATCACAAATATATAAATTATTCACCAGAATAATCACCAACAGATTAGAGCGAAAACTCGAAGTTTACCAACCAAAGGAACAGGCTGGATTCCGAAGCCATTATAGCACGACACAACATCTACACACAGTAAGGCAGATGATCGAGAAAGCAACAGAATATAATATAAACCTATGGATGGCTTTTGTCGATTTCCGGAAAGCCTTCGACACAGTAGAAATCTGGGCAATAATAAAATCCTTGTGAAATGCCAGAGTGGATCAACGGTATATAAACCTCATTGAAAACATCTATAAGACTTCGACAATGTCGATGAGACTTCATAAATCATCTGACAGAATAAACGCCAAAAGAGGAGTTCGGCAAGGGGACGTAATATCTCCAAAACTATTCACTTTAGTGCTCGAGGATATTTTTAAAAAGCTACAATGGGAAAACAAAGGATTGAACATACATGGTGAACGCCTGCACAATCTAAGATTTGCCGACGATATTCTACATTGTTGGAAGAACCACAAGATGAGGCGGCAAAAGTACACATGAACTACACAAAGACCCAGTTTATTACAAATACATCAGATGCAGACGAAACAATACTGATCCATGACAGCACAATAAAAAAGACAGAAACATACATATACCTTGGCCAAGCTATAACACCGGGCATCAAAATCAAGAAATGGAAATTGATAGGAGAATTAGACTGGGCTGGGCGGCTTACGGCAAGTTAAAGTACATCTTCAGCATGAATATTCCAATGACTTTAAAATCAAAAGTCTATAACGAGTGTATACTGCCTATTGTCACGTATGGTTGCGAGACCTGGGTGATAACCAGAAGAATTAAGCACAAATTGGAAGTACATCAGAGAGCCATTGAAAGACGAATTTTAGGAATTTCCCTGAGAGACCACAAAACAAATACATAGATAAGGGAAAGAACCAAAGTCTCCGACATAATAAAAATAATTGGTTCCCTAAAATGCCAATGGGCAGGACACGTGGCCAGACATACAGAAAACTGGAGCATATGTAGATGGAGACCTTGGGAAGAGAGGAGAAGTGTTGGAAGACCCCAACAAAGATGGTACGATGATATAAAGAGGGTTGCAGGCTTGAATTGGTACCGAGTTGCGCAAAACCGAAGACAATGGTCAAATTTGAAAGAGGCCTAAATCCTAAGGATAGAAAACGGCTGAAAATGGAAAAATGGATAATCTCATATTTTACAATGATAGAGTAGTTGTGCGTGAGATTTTGCGTAAAGGGATGTTAAAAATATTGCATGAGGGACATTTTGGTATACGTCGAACTAGAGATAGAGCTCGTGGTTTATTGTTTTGACCAGGTATGAGTACCTATAGATATTGAGAATATTATAAAGCATTGCAATTTTTGTGAAAAATTTAGTCATGCAAATGTGAAAGAACCATTAATTACACATGATATTTCTGAATTACCTTTTCAGAAGTTAGTTTATGACATAATGGAGTACAGTGGGAAATCATATTTGATTGTTGTAGATCATTGGACTGCATGGCTTGAAATAATACCTTTAAAAGGAAAACAATCTTGTGACATTATAAATGCATTTAAACAAATATTTGCAACTCATGGTGTGCCTGATATTATTGTGGCTGATAATATACCGTTTGGTTTATATGAGTTTAAGATTTTTGCAGATCAATTTGATTTTAAAATTCAAGCAAGTAGCCCAAGATATTCCAGGTCTAATGGTTTGGCAGAAAGGTTTGTTTAAACGCCTAAGAACATAATTCGTAAGTCTGGTGATATTTGGGTAGCTTTAATGGAATATCGAAATACTCCTATCACAAGCTTAAAGCGATCATCCAGCTGAACTTCTATTTTCAAGAAGACTTAAAACTAAACTTCTAACTGTAGAGAAACAAAAACCTGAAATTACGGAGTTCAAAAAAGAATTGGAACATAAAAAAAATTGTATACGGAATATTATGATAGGCATGCTAGAGAAAGATCAGAATTTAAAGAGGGAGAAAATGTTGTATGTAGAGATTCTAAGCAGTGGTACCCAGCGACTATAATGACCAAACATGAGTCTCCTAGGTCTTATTTGATTGATAATCATAGCAGCGTGCTGCGACGTAAAAGTTATCATTTACGGACAATCATTGCACGTGAAAATAGGAATTTGACAAATTATCCAGATAATGATAAAAATAACTTAGGATATATTGAAGATCCGTTCAAACTTGTGTTTCTGCAGAAAGTACTCCTACTAGGCCTACTTCTGATTTACATACGCAGACTTTGAATAGGTACATTAAAGTCTAATCGTATTATTAAGAAACCAAGTAAATTTTCGGATTTTGTTATGTATCAAGAAAAAGTTGAAGTTATTGGTATTAGGTTATTAAGTACCACTACCTGTAAAAAAGTTTTTATTTTTGATCGTACATAAAAAAGTTACAAGTGATGTTTCTATATAACTTGACACCCTGCACATCACGTATAATAAATATATAGGTGAGTTTCAGTTGTTATGTTGACATAGAAATAATAATAATTGGTTAGATAATAGAGAGTTATTGGAACTATCAAATACTGCCTCGCAGTATTAAGGATCAACGTTATTTTATTAGTGCATCAGCACTATTTTTCCAAGAAAAAAACAGTTATTGGAAGACTGTAGTAGGTGCTAGAGTATTACCTTATTTTGTATATATAATTTTGACAGCTGATAGCTATGTTTATAAATTTCAGCCTCAAAAAGTGTTTATTTTTGTTTGTTGATTTTCTGCTGATACCATTTTTTGATGTTACCCACAGTAAAATGGAAAACTATTGTAAAAAAAAAAAAATCTAAGTAAAATTACGTCATCGTCGAAAAGCGAAACGTCAAAGTCGTCAAAAATGTCTGAAATTTGAAATAAGGGAAGTTTACTGCCTCGCACTAACCATACACAAATAAAGACAAGCAGTAACCTTATTATGGGAATCCTTATTTTCGGACCCAAATGCGCATGCGTAGATGTCAAAATAAGGCTAATTTAAATACTGCTTGTCCTTATTCCACGTCCAATAACTCTCTATTGTTCACATCATATTCATAATTTAATAAAGAACTTGATAATATTGAGTGTAACAATATTATTATAGAAACTGAACAGGAGCCAAATAAGAGACATCACAAGTCTCCTGCCAGGGCACTGGGTGGTCAGATACCACCTGCACAAAATCGGACTCACTAATGAGAGTGAATGCAGGTTCTGCAGCGAAACTGATGAAACTACCAAGCATATAGTCTGCGACTGTGACGTCCTCGTCAGTAGCAGACTACGATACCTTGGGAACAGGTTTCTGAAACCTGATGAAATAAAGCATGACCGACATGAGCCGGTCTGCAGCTTTCTTAAAAATGCGGGCTCCTAAGGTAAGTCAGGGCTGCACCCAGAGGCGGATCGCAAAATTGGCCACATGCGCGTTGGCGTGCTGCCTATAATCACTTCCCTTTCAAATCCGAATCTGCCAAAAGCTGACTCAAATTCTATTCATCTGTGTCTCCTTTTCCTTGAAACTGTACCGAGATTTTTCCATATTTTTAACTGTTTGTTCTATGTTCATGGCCAGAAAAGAATTCCATCTTGTGCAACGTGCAATGTTTTATCCAGTAAACAATATTCTAGAGCTATCCAGGTCACAGACACATGAAAAAAAACTAGACTTACTTGGATTAGACACCATCCATTCCGAATCCTAAAACCAATTTTTTCAGAAACAGAATCTTTAATAAATAAAACAACATTTACCTCAGGGTCATCATCATCTCGAACAATCAAATCTTGATCAAGTCTTTGGACGCAAACATCGCAAGTAGATTCTACTGGATGTTCGTTCATATATCTTCGAGATGCAATAGTGAATGGAAGTTGATGAGGAACAATTTCCTTCCAGTGCTTGTCTTTTGTTAAAGTAGGATGACTGTTATGGATTTTGTCAACCAAGATATAACTCACCTAGAGGTTTTTAATGGTTTGAATTATCTGAAATTTTATTGAGTACGCTTACTTGTAAATGTCTATCTATCAACCAAACTACTTCAAAATCATCGTCGTCTTCGCCAAAAGGATTAATAAGACTTTCAGCTACTTTCAGCCAGCCCATATAAAAGAAAAATTCCACACAAGACATGAGAGGAAATCTTAATATATTTATATCGTGTTCTTTTATTTCATCTACAAACTGTGTTCCAAGTACGTTGAAAATGAAATAGAGATATACTGCGAAAGTTACCACCTAGAATTATTTTTCTTAAATACCAGCGTATAAGTATTATCTATTCACAATCCGATGTCCAAAGGTACAGGTAAAATTTATCACCTTTCAGTGTTATTTGATACGGAAAGGTGTTACATTTATCTTTACCTTTGGACTACGGATTGTGAATAGGATTATACCTAATATTTTATTAAAATACCTGTGTGTATACCAAGGGAATACATATCCAGTCATAATCCCATAGCTTTTTACATTTTTCTCTAAAATCGTTGATATGTTCTAAAATATCTTTTAGAGCCATATCATCTTTGATAATATTTTCTTCCCGAGCTGTTGTAGCTACATTCGCTGCCCATGCTAGTGGCAACCTAAAACAAATAAATCCGACAATTGATGGAATTGCCACAGCATATTGGTAATTATAAAATATTTCTCGAAAGTATTTAAAAAAATGATAAGCAAGTATTTTTTGATACTGGTTTATGAGTATATACAGAATTTGATTATTTACCAGTATTTCGAAGCATAGGTTGGATAGTCCTTATCCATTTCCTGCATAAAGTTTTTTTCTTCGCAGGTCAGAAGTCCAGCTTCAACAAAATGATGCAAAGTTGGGAAACGTTTCTTAACTTTCGGAGATATCATTGTTAAAGTCAACGTGAATCCTGCGCAAACATACCGCATTATTGTCCTTCTTATCATTCTCGATTTATCATCCTATAAGAAAAGAGGCATTAAATTATCCAGATTTCTGTTTTAGGGGAGACTGTTGTATACTGGGACAATATTTTTCTAATTGAAATAAAAAAATTGTTGAATAATTTTTAACTGTGAACATTCTAATATATTTAAAAGTAGTTTGTTTATTAACAATTATAAAAATTTCAACAACTTTTACACTTTAACATAGAAAAAATTGAATGTCCCACTATACACCACTTTCCCACTATACAACCACCCCATGTTGCATACTGGGAATGATGCATGGGTATAGTGGGACAATGTTTTTTGATCCAAAATAAGTAAATATAAAAAAAAATTCCGTCGCTTATTCACAAAATGATAGAACTTCGACATAAATTAAGTAGGTAGCCAAACTTATTTCGAATTCGAAAAAGTTTGAACCATTCTTCTCCGGCGATTTCATTCTCCGTCCATGTTTTTGGATTTATTTTAATTTGCGATGGCAAATCTATAAGCCAACTTTCTAGGTTTTCTGCTAGTTAAACCGTAGCACCTTCGTGAAGAAGTAACTAAATATTTGCTAAGCATTGGCTCTTCATCGTCACTGAAAATCTGCTTGACACCAATGACACCATGTTGCCTTTTGAAAATTTAATTCCTGCGTGTTTGCTTCATTTATTTTGTGCTTCTTTCTATGCAACGCTGATTTGCTAACTCCAAATTGAACTGCAGCAGTCTTAATATTGGTTTCATTTTTAAGAACACCATCTACCGCCGAGTCTACCGCCTTCCCCAGCATTCTCAAAGTGAATTTTCCGACTCTCAAAAAACGATTTCTTGTTTTTGCGGCCCCTATTTTTATCAATTTCTGGAAGAAAGAGGGTATTGAAACTAGGTGAAATACGAAAGTGTTCTATTATAGAGCAGATAAAATGTTTGTCCCAATATGCAACCCAGTATACACTGTCCCACAATACAACCTTATACGCTTCTTGAAATTTTCTGAATTTGAGAAAATATGAACAAATACTAGAAAAAAATAACCTTAATTCACCTTTAAGACACCTTCGGGCATAATTATCCCCAAATTCAGGACAAACTATTGGATATTACTGGCATAAACTATGCCCAACACGTGGTCGTAAAAAAAAACTTTGTCACTTTTATGCTTACACTAACGAAAATCCCGCCATATTGAAGACTCTAACGGCCAATGCCAAGGTTATATCTAATGCTCATATATGAAGCAGTTGACACAATTTTTTTCGGAATTTTAAGCGATACCGGTGGCGGACAATTTGAATTGTCCCACTAAGGAACCTGTCCCGATATACAACAGTTTCCCTATTTCATATAATAAAGTTTGCTTATAAATGTAAGTTGACTCATTTCTGAATTATAAAATAATCATAATTAAGTATACCGACTCAAAAAAATGTTGTATATATGTACTTACATTTCCATGCGCACCAGCACCAACCAAAATGGCAATACCATCTGGATATGGTATACATTGGTATTGACTCCACCAACGATTATAAACTATATTGACAAAGAAACCCAGGACAAAACTTAAAGGAATTGCACTTCCATAATGCGAAAAGTAGGTTACCATATTAATAAAATATCTAGAACAAAGCAAATTGAAATAAAAGTTTATTTTTATCTAACTAGGTATACCTACTCACTTTCTTCCATGTTTCTCATCTAGCCCATAAAGGTACAGAAGATTCAAGGCATAGTAAATGGTTAAATAGAGAATGAGATCAACCCATACTATTTTGTAAATACTGCCTCGCCATCTGAAATGTTTTGTTACTAGTAACCTTAGAATTCAGTAGGTAACAATATATTCATTCACACACTGATATTGAATTGAATGTGAATGAAACTAAATTCTCAAATTAAAATTTGTGAACTTCGGTAATTTACATACCTCGCTAATAGTTTCAAAAATATTCCTATACCAGTACTACTCGTAACCTTGCTAGAATAGGTTACAGTCATTCTGTAAAATGTAAACCAATACCACTATTCTCACTATTATGTTTTTAATACATGGCATCGAGCGCACGTGATGCAATATTAAAAATAATTAATAACCACGAAAAAAATACAAACTGGTTAAAAATATCGTCGATGATCAACTTTTACAATAATCTTATCAATTACATTAATAGAACAAACACTGTTAGTCAACCATAAATAATTCAGTACTGGTAGGTACCTATAGTAATTTTATCAAGGTTTTGGTTGCTAATGTGTGGGTCTTATATAAGGATCAGCAATCGTTAAATGGTTAGACAAATATGATATCATCAACCTGAAACTTTGTCGGTGCGGATACAAAGAACTTATTCATGATAATATAAGTAAGAATTTTAGTTCTTGGCTGAAAAATTATTTTTCCAAGTTTTATTGTCGCGCGGCGCGCTTTGATGTTTAAGGTTTATCGGTGATCGGAGTAAGTAATTGGATCAGGGGGCTTAGTAGTGATCCTGTTCATGTAGTCAAAATACTCACACACAGAAGAATTAGGTACAGGGTTATAGGTTATAAATGTCACCCCCCTCTATCTTTTTTATTTGACATTTTAGAAAAAAGTGTCTCAAATATAAGTTTTATGGTTGAAATTAAATTTTTTGAAAAACTCATTTTCGCATATACAGGGTGTTTTAGAAAAGCTGGTCGTGCTCCAAATTTCTTATTTCAAATAGAAAACCCTGTATATTATTGGATATTCGGATTCTACGTTACATTCTGAACATATTTTATGTGATATACCCTATACCTAAGTTCAACTATTTTGGAAATATTAATAGTTGAAAATTGACTTTTTTGCAACTTTGACAGGCTGTAAATCCTAAACGAATAATTTTAGAGCAAAACCGATTTTACATTTTTATCTTAGATTTTTATGAACTATCAACCAATATTTGACATCAACTTTGAATTAAATCCATGATTGGAAATTCCAATAAAGTTTAAATCTTCGGTTAAATTCAAAGTTGGTGTCAAATGATAACTTGTGAAAATCTTAGAAAAAAATGTGATATCGGTTTTGCTCAAAAGTTAACCGTTTAGGTTATACAGCCAGTCAAATTTGCAAAAAAGTCAATTTTCAACTGTCAATATTTCCAAAACAGTTGAACTTAGGTATAGAGTATATCACATGAAATCTGCTCAAAATTTGACGTAGACTCCGAATATTGAATAATATACAGGGCATTGAATTTAAAATAAGAAAGTTGAAAGTTTGTGAAATACGCTGTATATGCAAAAGTAAGTTTTTCAAAAAATTTAATTTTAACTATAACTTTTTTATTTGGGACACTTTTTTCTAAAATGTCAAATAAAAAAGATAGAGGGGGTGACATTTATAACCAATAACCCTGTAGGTACATAGATACTAACAATTATCTTGTTACGTGTTGGTATATCGTTAAAAATTGCTGGGTTCTGGAGATATGTCAATGTGATAATTCCAAATTACGTCAGACCAGACAATGTATGTCTTGTTGAATTATTGTCGCTTCAACATAGTCGACTTCAATAACTGAGCTTGTTTTATTTCTTATATCTATTCTATTCAATAATGCAACATGCAACACTCGTGGAACTTACAGAACATTTCAAGCATGACTGTAGAGTACAACTGAGATCTCGTTCTCCTGATGACTGTGAAGTCGAATAAGAGACGCTTGCTGATTCGCGATATATGAATAATTTTGGGAAAAAAGACTTGAAATGAATTACGAATTTGAACGTGCCTATATACCTTTAAACGGTATTGAAGACGACTCACTCCATAGAGTACGTGCGGGTCCAGTTGGGCTGTTCCATTTAAGTTTTTTATAGGGGTGGTTGGTAAAAAGTTTTGTCACTTGTCACTATTGCGAGAATGCCGCGATTATGATTGTTTAATTATTTTTGAATGTAATGAGGCGTTAACATTGACCTCCACCTCAAATCATTTTTAGTTATTAGAGAAGACCGGGTTACATGAACGAAATGTAGTAAAGGGAAATAATCCGGCAAGCGAAGAAAACAAGATCTGGAACATCAAGATTGGTCGATTACGACTTACGCTGATTCAGAAGGACGAAGTTATCCTACAAACTGCCAAATTTCCATAAAGAGAAATTCTATAAGTGTTGCGAACATCCACGAAAGCGTAGTGTTACGTGTCTAATTTTTAGTCAATCAACCTAGGAGATTGTTCGACATATTTTTGCTGCCTTTAGTCTTTTACTACTCTGTCCTTGCCTGATTTTGCCTAGCACTAAAAAAAAAGGCAACTAATAGTATAAAATCTTTAATAGGTATATATATTTCACATAACAGTTACAATATTTATTCTCCAGGAAGATATCCACAGCTTCTGGCGATCTCTGAAAATAAGAGTGATTTGAAATAAGATAATATCGTATTGAGCAAAATAATTACCATTTTTTTGAGTTTTCACTATTTTGTTATCTGTTCTCGGTTCTGTTCTAGGAATCAGGTAAATCAGCATTTGTTTTCCATATTTTTGTAGAGGTTTCCATTGTGCAACTTTGAAAACATCAGGTTTCCAGCCTTAAATAATAAGAAAATTTAGATAAGATTCGAATAGGAAAAGTAAACAAATAATAGTAGGGTTAGGAAATTGTTTAAATCCGACAATAAACTTAAGTCAATTGTGGCACGAAAATTTGAATATTGAGTATTGCATGCGCAATATGCATTAATTCAAACTGTCCAAAAATGAACGAAAAATCCCCTAGAACTCGATTCCTGTAACCAGAAATTCTACTGTTGGAGGAATTTTTCTTTTTCTAGAATCACGCAGAAGCGAAGCCACGTTATAGCTGTTCCGGTAATTAGATACCTAAATTGGTTCAACTCCAAATAAAGGTTTATGACAACCAGGCAAGCTGGCAACAAGGCGTTCCCACGAGGCCGCAGGGCAAATATTCATATTCCGCTCCCCGCCAGTGTCAAGTAGGTAGTACCCCAAAGAGAAAGCATGTTGCGCTTGGGCCGACAGCTCTCTTGGCATTCGGGGTTGTAATTTATTGCGCAATATTGCGAAATAATATTGTAATAACTCGTTTTCCGTTCAAATATCAATAATAATAAAGTAATAAGTAAATAGGATTCGAGTTTCATTGCGATATCAATATACAGTCCACTGAAGAAGGAAAAATAAGTATCTAACCTTAAAGTGAAAAATTATAATAAAGTGAATCAGTATAATACCCCATCAATAGCTTTCTTCTGAGGCATTTTGCGAATTTGAGTGAATATTTGGGAAGTACCTAATTGAGTCTTAAACGGTGGTTATTATTCTTATAACCCCACAGCAAGTATTTGCTAATTTAACAAGATTTCAGTACGTACAAACCCAAATTCTGGAAAATAAGTTTGATTCGTGTCACGTGTTGAGTGTCGAAAAGGCCAATCCACATTGGTTAGTCCCTATTATTCATCATTTTATTTTGTATTCTGATCTCTGTTAGAGTCTTATGTCCTCAAAAACGTAATTGATTGCCGTACTTACCTCAATTCTTATTGAAATCAAGTTTTTATAGTGTGAACTCTCTCTTTTAGGCCTTTTTATATTGGGTAACGTTACATCCCTTTCTGCTATTGCTGTCGTTAGATGCACAAAGGCACCTGATTGCTGAATTGTTGATGCTCAATTCTGAACCTGATAGGATAGGAGTTTTTGGGGCCTGTGAATCTCAATCGTCCCCCACGAGGTTCCTAGTAGTATCATTCCATCAAATAACTACATAATCAGGTTTGCGTATTGTTGTGCCGTTTTGGGAACCATCCATCCCGTCTGTATTAAGGGTTTCACCATCTCCTTGTGAGTTGGATCCTTTCACCTGTAACCACTTGTACCTACTGTTCAATATTATAGCCAGTTGAATTACCACTACCTGTTTTAAAAATTACCTTATAATACTTTAGGTTTAAATTAAGTTAATCTTACGTTTACTTACCATATTATTTTGATTTCCTGGAACATTGCAAATAGTCCAAATTAGTGTAAACACATATGTCTAATGGTGAGTTTATAAAAAACATTTAACATTTAGCATTTAACATTTAAGATTTTACATTTAACATTTAGCATTTAAAAATTTAGACCCCGTTTATAAAAGAATAAAAAATAAATAAAAATAAAAATAATAATACATAATAAACTAGCCCTGGTTTTTGCACACCACATGGCCCCAGCCATCAGGAACAACATAGAACCCATAATTAAAGCTGAATTATTGAGCTGGATTCAGGGCTTCCGTAACGTAAGACCTAGAACTTAAGCGTAAGAAAAATAAACACCATGTAAATCAATGGGATCGTTCATAGTGGTGCCACCGTAAGACTTAAGCCGTAAAGCCCATTTTACAATGGACGTAATGTAACTGTAAAAACGTAACATAAGTCCTAAGAATGCGCACATTTGATTTATTTGCGTCAAATATGTCACTGGAAACGCAACGTAAGAGAAATGAGAGTTGGTCGTCGACGAGTTGGTTATCTCTTACGTTGCGTTTCCGGTAACATATTTGACGCAAATAACTCTGATATGCGCATGCTTAGGACTTATGTTACGTCTTTACGGTTACGTTACTTCCATTGTAAAATGGGCTTAAGCCGTAAGAAATGGTTCAATTCCATTTCCTGCGTTACGGCTTAAGTTTCCGTTGAGGATCGCGAGGTTTCGTTAGCGGCCGATCGTGAAACTGACATATGGCCACCTATTTTTTTGATTGTTTATGTTTCTGATTGTTTTGGTTTTTGTTTTGTGTCTGGTGGTTAAATTTTTTTTCAGTTCATAATTAAATAAAAATATAATATTATAATACATGTATACTAGAAAAAAACAGGTTCATTTTGGTAGATGGACTGCAAAATCGGCGGATGCGGCAGCACTGAATCACTAGATAAATATGGAGTCCTAACCTAAGAATAGAATATAATTTCTTACTTCTTTAGTTTTAAGTTAGCTCTGAATTGACTGCCATTTTTTTTTTTAAGCTTTACGGCTAAAGAAATCTTAAGTCTTAAATCTCACGTTACGGAAGCTCTGAGCGGACCTTTATACTTGGGTATATCGATAATTTAAAAATTTGCAAAAACCAACAGAAATACACCTTGTTTATCGCACAAAATCAATAAACAAAT